TTAAGTTCATGGTCGTAGTAGTGTTCAGGTTCTCAGTTGGTTGTTCTACTTATCATGTGTTTGTACGTTCGCCACTCTCACTCTCATCTTGTCAAAGTTTATGCTCTTGGTAGTGTTTCGGTTCGCATTTGGTTGTTCAACTTCTCATGTGTATGTGCTTTCTCTACTCTCGCTTTCATCTTGTGAAGTTCATGCTCTTGGTAGTGTTCCGGTGTCGAGCACATCAGTCCGGCACTACTCAGGGGTAGCGTGGGACCCTCCTGGCCACGTCATGCAGGAGTTGGATATTAATGCTCGTCCCGATACATACATGGAGTTTCCGCAAGCCGCTCCGGCCGAGTGCGCCTGGCATACCTCTCGCGAGCCCCTACGACAGGATAGGGCCTACGCGAGGCACGACTTACCTCCACCTTACGGGAGCTGTCACCTCCCTTCGGTGGGCGTATCCCGCCGAGCTACCAATCCACAATACGAAAGTTGATCAGTTGCAATCGCAGAGGTGGACCAGCCGAGGGCGTTTCTCGTTCGTTGTAGCATAGGGTGTACGCGCGGTATTATGCCTCTATCGGACCTGCAAGCGAACCAACATCTTGGGGGGCTGAGGTCCCAAGGGCGACTTGTCGCTGGTCGACTAGGACGAATCCCATACACCACGCGCACACCACTATAAAGTACATAAACACAAAATACATATCATACAAGATGCCTCTTATACATCTTTCACACAAAAACCATTATACATTAGGAAAAAAACACACATGTGAGAGTGAGCGTGATCGTCATGTGCAAAGGGTAATCTCCAATAGTACTAAACTCAGACACGTACTCAGGGATGAGATATCTCATCCTATACAAGAATAGTCTGGTCTCATGACTCACTCAAAACAACTCTTGTCACTCTAAATATAGTACGTGGTCAACCGTACAAGAAAGTCCTCAAAATAACTCAGAATTCTACTGTCACTTAGTGTACATACCCTATTTTACATTATCCTGGTCTCAGTGGCCATCCTATGCTGTAGTCCCCATTTGCACACTCAACGGCATAGGTACCTATCTGTCCAAGTAACAGCGAAGTCAACAAAGAAACATCCATCCTTACTTAGGTGAACAAGTCCCTACTCACCCATCTCCTCCTGGTTCTGCCTATACAACTGAGCTCTACCTCCATCGGCAGATCGCTCTACTACCCTACCCTGTCTATCATACATTCTTCCACCACTTTCTGAGACCTTTCCCTCAGCCAGATCCTTTAGAACTTTGGACACTACAAAGCCCTGTGCTGCCCCTTTGTGCAGAAGAAACAGGTTGAGTCAAATGACTTCCTTGGCCTCTTCTTCTTTCGTTGGGGCTCTGGCGATGATGGAGTCTCACTGGCCTCTCTGCCCAGCTCATAACTCTGAGGTGTGTCCTTGGGTCCCTCAGGTCCAGTCTCCAACTCTCGAGGACTAGGCTCTGGTCGTATCCCAATCCCCTCTGGCCCATACTCAGGAGTGTCCAATCTCTGGGGCCTGCCCTCGATGATGTCTTCCATCGCCTCTCCCATCTCACTCTCAGGAGGCTCCTCTATTCTGGGCTCTGGCGAAAATAGGCTCGCACCCTCCTGCATAGTGTGAACCGCCTCAAGCAGCACATCCATAGACCCCTTTGTTGAGCCTTGGACTGGCTCGCCACTAGCTGTCGGTAGTCCGTTCTCAACTGAGGGTGACATGGTAGGGCCTGCTGTTACTGTGGGCAGCATAGCAAGTTCCGTAGGGGCTCTGAACTAGAAGGCTTCCCTCTCTGCTTCCCTCTTGGCCTTTGCCTCCTCAGGCTCCAAAATGACTCTCCCCATGGGTGCCTCTTGCTGATGATCAGCCGCGGGTGGCTGCTCTGATAAGCCACATCCCGGCTGCCTCTGTTCTCCCTACCTACTGCTTTTTGCCCCATCCATGCCGCCTCGAAGTTGCTGCCTCAACTCCTGAATGATGGCGGCCTGACTAGCCACCATTGCCCTGAGTTCGCGAACCTCCGCCTCGACGGCCTCTAACCGCACCCCAAGGTTTGCCTCCCTCATCTCTTTCCCTCTCAGATCTGCCTCCAACATCATGTATCTGTCGAAGGATGTCTTGGACAAGGAGCGGATCCTTCGATCCAAGTACTCGTCCACATTCCTTGAGGTCTCGACTTCCGCCTTGCCTGGATCTGTTAAATCCTTGTCATGCCTGGCAAGGAATTCTTCCCATATCTCCTTGAGTCCATACGGCCTGTGGGGTGGTGGTGGATCTGGGAGAGCTCCTGCCTTTTCCAATTTCTGCCTCTCCTGCCGAATCTCTTCCCAGCGTCTCCCCACTCTGGTCCGCTTTTCCTCTCCATTTCCCTTGCTGGTACTCTCTCCTCTGTGCGGTGATCGGCCTTCTCTGGGATCTCTACTTCCACCCCTCTCTCGACCTAACATGACTCCTGAGGCGGCTCCATAGGCACGGGCACCTCCAGGTCCGGGAGCTCCAATGCGTGAGCGGCCAGATGCCTGTCAATCAAGGTGTCCGCCTCTCTCCTCAGGCTGGCCTTCTCAGTTTCTCCTTCCTCCATCCCTTCCGGCGACGGAACCACCTCTAGCAGTGGGGGTGGTACCTCCTCTCCCTTGCTGGGTGTGCTCTCTGATGGGCTCCCAAGCCTTAGTCCCACAACTGGCGTCTGGGGAGGAGTATCCTCCTCAACCTCTATGATCTCATCCTCAGCCCGACCTTCCTCAGTACTTGGTCCCTTTTCATGCTCAAGGCCCGGAACTTCTTCTCGCAGCACCTCTTCAATTGGCTCATCGCGCCTCTCACTTATCGACGGTACTCTCCACTGGGTGACGTCCGAGTGTGCCTCTAACTCCTGCAACGGCCCTCCAGATACCGGTGTCTCCTCCTGTGGGCGCAGTGGTGATCCTCCCAGCCCACCTTCAGCAAAGCGATGAAACTCCACTGGTCCCAATCTGTACTCAGGGTATGCCCCTCGCCCCTCAGTTTCAGGTACAACCTCCCTTTCTCGCCTAGCGAGTGCCTTTCGCCCCCTTCGTGACGGCCTGGCCTCAGCGGGCTCAGGATCCCTCTGCCTCCCGCTTCTCAGGCGTCTTTCCACTCTAAGCTGAGGTGGTTCCGGTCGTCTGAAGGCTTCCCTCAAATGTGCTCTGCAGCCATCCCAATCTCGGGCCATGTCTTTGATCTGCCAGGCTAGGGGCCTCTCCGTCTTCCGGGTCCATAGGGGTAACATCGCTGCCCACTTGTCCCACAAAATGACCTAATTATGCATAAACTGCTCGAATGCGGGGATTAACTCCTCTGCATTCCCAATCTCCAAGCGGATAGGCCTGCCATCAGGTCCAACAGGTGATGGTCGTAGCTCCTGCATCCTCGCCTCCACCTCTGACCTCGTCCTACCTGTGGTCAACCGTTATGAGGGAAAATACCCTTTTATTCCTAGTAACAAATCATGCCGGCCAACTATGCCGGTTGCATAATCAAAATAGAGAGATCACACGCACGCCTTAATGCCGCGCGCCCACTCACGCTCAATTCAAGTCAACCATCCTACTAGTGTAACTCAACAGCTTAGCCGCGACTCGTGCGGTACATTTAGATTTCCAAACTTACTTCCTGTCGCTTGCAAGAACTAGGGCGGATACCCTTCTTAGGGTATTCGCACCGACACCGGTTCTCATTTGGTTGTTCAACTTCTCTTGTGTCTTTGTGCTTTCTCTACTCTTACTCTCATCTTGTTAAGTTCATGCTCGTAGTAGTGTTCCGGTCCTCAGTTGGTTATTCAACTTATCATGTGTTTGTACTTTCGCCATTCTCACTCTCATCTTGTCAAAGTTCATGCTCTTGGTAGTGTTCCGGTTCTCATTTGGTTGTTCAACTTCTCATATGTATGTGCTTTCTCTACTCTCACTCTCATCTTGTCAAGTTCATGTTCTTGGTAGTGTTTCGGTTCTCCTTTGGCTGTTCAACTTCTCTTGTGTATGTCCTTTCTCCACACTCACTTTCATCCTGTCAAGTTCATGCTCTTAGTAGTGTTTCGGTTCTCAGTTGGCCGTTCAACTTCTCATGTGTTTGTACTTTCGCCACTCTCACTCTCATCTTGTCAAAGTTCGTGCTCTTGGTAGTGTCCCGGTTCTCATTTGGCTGTTCAACTTCTCATACATGTGCTTTCTTTACTATCGCTCTCATCTTGTGAAGTTCATGCTCTTGGTAGTGTTTCGGTTCTCATTTGGCTCTTCAACTTCTCTTGTGTATGCGCTTTCTCTACTCTCACTCTCATCTTGTCAAACTCATGTTCTTGGTAGTGTTCCGGTTCTCATTTGGTTGTTCAACTTCTCTTGTGTATCTGCTTTCTCTACTCTCACTCTCATCTTGTCAAGTTCATGCTTTTACTAGTGTTCCGGTTCATAGGTGGCTGTTCAACTTATCATGTGTATATGCTTTCTCTACTCTCACTATCATCTTGTCAAGTTCATGCTCTTGGTAGTGTTCCGGTTCTCATTTGGCTGTTCAACTTCTCTTGTGTCTTTGTGCTTTCTCTACTCTCACTCTCATCTTGCTAAGTTCATGCTCGTACTAGTGTTCCAGTTCTCAGTTGGTTGTTCAACTTATCATGTGTTTGTACTTTCGCCATTCTCACTCTCATCTTGTTAAAATTCATGCTCTTGGTAGTGTTCCGGTTCTCATTTGGTTTTTCAACTTCTCATATGTATGTGCCTTCTCTACTCTTGCTTTCATGTTGTCAAGTTCATGCTTTTAGTAGTCTTCCGGCTTTCATTTGGCTGTTCAACTTCTCTTGTGTATGTGCTTTCTCTACTCTGACTCTCATCTTGTCAAGTTCATGCTCTTCGTAGTGTTCCGGTTCTCATTTAACTATTCAACTTCTCATGTGTTTGTGCTTTCTCTACTCTCGCTCTCATCTTGTCAAGTTCATGCTCTTGGTGGTGTTCCCGTTCTCATTTGGTTATTCAACTTCTCTTGTGTATGTGCTTTCTCTACTGTCATTCTCATTTTGTCCAGTTCATGCTCTTAGTAGTGTTTTGGTTCTCATTTGGCTGATCAACTTCTCATATGTATGTGTTTTTTCTACTCTCACTCTCATCTGAGTCATCTTGTCAAGTTCATGCTCTTCGTAGTGATCCGGTTCTTATTTGGCTGTTCAACTTCTCACGTGTTTGTGCTTTCTCTACTCTCACTCCCATCTTGTCAAGTTCATGCTCTTGGTAGTGATCCGGTTCTTATTTGGCTGTTCAACTTCTCATATGTTTGTGCTTTCTCTCCTCTCACTCTCATCTTGTCAAGCTCAAACTCTTGGTAGTGTTTCGGTTCTCATGTGGCTGTTCAACTTCTCTTGTGTATGTGCTTTCTCTACAGTCAGTCTCATCTTGTCAAGTTCATGCTCTTAGTGGTGTTCCGGTTCTCAGTTGGTTGTTCAACTTCTCATGTGTATGTGCTTTCTCTACTCTTACTMTCATCTTGTCAAGTTCATGCTCTTGGTAGTGTTCCGATTCTCATTTGGTTGTTCAACTTCTCTTGTGTGTATGTGCTTTCTCTACTCTCACTCTCATCTTGTCAAGTTCATGATCTTAGTAGTGTTCCGGTTCGCAGTTGGCTGTTCAACTTATCATGTGTTTGTACTTTCGTCACTCTCACTCTCATCTTGTCAAAGTTCATGCTCTTGGTAGTGTTCCGGTTGTCATTTGGCTGTTCAACTTCTCATGGGTTTGTGCTTTCTCTACTCTCGCTCTCATCTTGTCAATTTCATGCTGTTGGTAGTGTTCCGGTTCTCATTTGGTTGTTCAACTTCTCATGCGTTTCTGCTTTCTCTATTCTCACCCTCATCTTGTCAAGTTCATACTCGTGGTAGTGTTTCGGTTCTTATTTGGCTGTTCATCTTCTCATGTGTATGTGCTTTCTCTACTCTCAGTCTCACATGTTAAGTTCATGCTCTTAGTAGTGTTCCGGTTCTGAGTTGGCTGTTCAAATTTTCATGTGTATGTGCTTTCTCTACTCTCACTCTCAGTTGTTAAGTCCATGCTCTTAGTAGTGTTCCGGTTCTCATTTTTGTTGTTCAACTTCTCATGTGCTTATGCTTTCTCCACTCTCACTCGCACTTGCTTTTGGCAGTGTTCCGATTCTCATTTGGTTGTTAAACTTCTCTTGTGTATGTGCTTTCTGTACTCTCACTGTGATCTTGTCAAGTCCATGCTCTTAGGAGTGTTCCGGTTCTCAGTTGGCTGTTCAACTTCTCATGTGTTTGTACTTTCGCCACTGTCACTCTCATCTTGTCAAAGTTCATGCTCTTGGTAGTGTTCCGGTTCTCGTTTGGCTGTTCAACTTCTCTTGTGTGTGTGTGTTTTGTAGTCTCACTCTCATTTTGGCTAGGTCATGCTCTTGGTAGTGTTCCGGTTCTCATTTTGCTGTTGAACTTCTCGTGTGTTTGTGCTTTCTCTACTCTCACTTGTCAAGTTCATACTCTATGTAGTGTTCCGGTTCTCATTTGGCTGCTCAACTTCTCATGTGTTTGTGCTCTCTCTACTCTCACTCTCACTTGTCAAGTTCATACTCTTGGTAGTGTTCCGTTTCACATTTGGTTGCTCTTTCGCTCATGTGCCTGTGCTTTCACTAGTTCAACCTCCACTTTATTAAGTTCATGTGTGTGGAAGTGTTCCGATTCACAATTGGTTGCTCTTCCACTCATGTGCATGTGCTTTCGTTGATTCAAACTCCACTCTATCAAGTTAATGTGTGTGGTAGTGTTCCGATTCACACTTGGTTGCTCTTTCACTTATGTGCATGTGCTTTCATTAGTTCAAGCTACACTTTGTCAAGTTCAGGTGTGTGGCAGTGTTCCGTTTCACACTTGGTTGTTCTTTCACTTATGTACATGTGCTTTCATTAGTTCAACCTTCACTTAGTCAAGTTCATGTTTGTGGCAGTGTTTCGTTTCACACTTGGTTGCTCTTTCACCTATGTGCATATGCTTTCTCTAGTTCAACCTTCACTTTGTCAAGCTTATGCATGTGGTAGTGTTTCGTTTCACACTTGGTTGTTCTTCCACTTATGTGCATATGGTCTCCTTAGTTGAATCTTCACCTTGTCAAGTTCGTACGTATGGTAGTATTTCGTTCATACTTGGCTGTTACTGCTATGGGATGGGTGACCGGCATTTGGCTGCTACGACTGTGGGATGGGTGACCGGGATTTGGCTGCTACTACTATGGGATGGGTGACCAGCATTTGGCTGCTACTACGGAAAGATGATTTTATTAGGACTAGCTGTCTCTCTCTCTCTCTCTCTCTCTCTCTCTCTCTCTCTCTCTCTCTCTCTCTCTCTCTCTCTCTCTCTCTCTCTCTCTCTCTCTCTCTCTC